TTTGGAACAAAAATGTATAGGATTGCGACATTGTTTGGACATTTTATTGAAACTTAATAGTTAGCGAATGGTACTTTCGGTAGTACATGATGGTGACTCTGAAAAACTGAAGCATATGAAACTAATTGGCAACTGCAAAAAGTCTTGTAAGATTTTTTGTGATGTTATAAGGTTTTCTGGCCTGGCCTTTTGCAGGTGTATGAGCTGTCTATCTCTGCAGTCTGCCAGATTGATTGGCCAAAGGACCGTGTTCTGATTCAAGTTCTTGACGATTCTGATGATGAGAGCATCCAGTGGTTAATAAAGACAGAGGTTGCTAATTGGAGCCAAAAGGGTATCAACATTATCTATCGGCATCGTGTTGTTAGAACTGGTTACAAAGCCGGAAATCTCAAGTCTGCGATGAGCTGTGATTATGTGAGAGACTATGAATTTGTTGCAATCTTTGATGCAGACTTCCAACCCAATCCAGATTTTCTTAAGCAAACGGTGCCACATTTCAAGGTGAATAATAGCGACATAATATTTTTTCAGTGTGATTTTTGGTCTGAACTCTTCGAATTTAACCTATTTTACGTTCTGTTGCAGGACAACCCCGAACTAGGTTTAGTTCAGGCTAGATGGGCCTTTGTGAACAAGGAAGAGAACTTGTTGACTCGTCTCCAAAATGTTAATTTGTGTTTCCACTTTGAGGTGGAACAGCAGGTTAACGGGGTGTTTCTTAATTTCTTTGGTTTCAATGGAACTGCTGGTGTTTGGAGAATTAAAGCCCTTGAGGAGTCTGGAGGATGGCTAGAAAGGACTACTGTAGAGGACATGGACATAGCTGTCCGGGCCCATCTCAATGGTTGGAAATTCATCTACCTTAACGATGTGAAGGTAATCTTGGATTATAGTTTTTCCGTATCCGCTAATACAGGACCACACACATTTGCATTTTATCTGTATGAAATGCTGCTTCAATTACATTTAAGTAAATACCACATTCGCATTATGCATGCGATATGTATGTTTAGGCAAAATCCAAATGAATTTAAGGGAAGGAAAAGAAGATGTTTCAAGCCTTATAGCCATGCAACTTTCAGGTACTATGCGAAGTGCCTGAGTCCTATGAAGCTTACAGAAAGCAGCAGCATCGTTGGCATTCTGGTCCTATGCAGCTATTCAGATTATGCCTTCCAGCGATTGTAACTTCCAAGGTGCCTTGAATATCAAAATTCTGTTATTCCCTGTCTCCCGTTGTTTATAACATGTACAATAATTTCTTGCTTTCTTGAATTCTGCAGATATCCGCATGGAAGAAAGCGAACTTGATACTTCTATTCTTTCTGTTGAGGAAACTTATCCTTCCTTTCTATTCCTTCACCTTGTTCTGCATAATTCTTCCACTAACCATGTTTGTCCCGGAGGCAGAGCTTCCCGCATGGGTCATCTGTTACGTTCCTGTTTTCATGTCGTTCCTCAACATTCTTCCATCCCCTAAATCCTTCCCTTTTATTGTTCCTTACCTTCTTTTCGAGAACACAATGTCTGTTACCAAATTCAATGCAATGGTCTCCGGGTTGTTCCAGCTGGGTAGCTCTTATGAGTGGGTTATCACGAAGAAGACTGGCAGGTCATCAGAATCGGACTTACTTGCTGCTGCTGAAAGGGAAACAAAGATGGTAAACCAATTACCAGTCCACAGAGGAGCTTCCGAGAGTGAGCTTTCTGAGTTGAACCGAATTATGGAAGAGAAAGAAGTAGCTCCCAAGCCTTTTAAGAAAGCTAACAAAATATATCGGAAAGAGCTTGCTCTAGCATTCCTTTTGCTCACCGCCTCTGTCAGGAGTCTGTTATCTGCTCAAGGTGTACACTTCTACTTCCTGCTCTTCCAAGGCGTGACCTTCCTCCTCGTTGGTCTTGATCTCATTGGTGAGCAAATGAGCTGATATTTCATGGCTACAAGAGAAAAATGGAGAAAAAATCAAACACATACACACATTGAGGGAAGTTCAACCCCTCACGCCGCGGGAATGGGCAGCAGAGTTACCCTTCGGTTCAGTAACCCAAATTACTTGCAGTCCACCGTGTGAACGAAGAAATAGATAGGAACTTCACATTTTCGAATGTTATTCCTCTTTTTTTTTTTTTTTTTTAAAGTTTTCCAGATAGGGCATTGATCAGTTTTAATGTTCCACGGGTATTGGATTGTTCTTGTTCATCTTAAGAAGGTTTCCCTGAGGCTTGCAAAGGCAAAGCAAGCACCTTTTGTAATTAATTTATCTAGTAATTAATTTATAATAATTCCTTTGTCTCATCGTCTAAGCAAGCATTTGCTTTATCGTCAAATCACAGTTGGAAACATATACCGAAGTAATCTTCCAGCATAAGAATTTTTATACACATATCAAACTATGATTTGTCTGTAATGAGATTTTCCGCTTTTCCACTATCTGGAAATAATGGAGTGTATGTGTGTGTCCACGCACACGCATGTTGAGATAAAATTCAAGTGTCGGCAGGCAAACTGCAAGTGAAACAAAGTTTGCATTTTTATGGTATTTTGTGGCGGCTGAGGATTTTGGTTCTTAACTTTCAAGCTTTTGAAGTGTCCGTTTTCGGGCCACATAGTTTTTTGGGGCCAGAGATCTTTGGTGGGCATGTACGTGATTCTGGGTCCATGCTGTAGTTGTAGGATAGTGCCCTTGGTTGGGAGGTCTAATTAGACAGATACTGTCACCACTCTTTCTAAATTTCTACAGAAGAGAACAGAAATTCTTTGATTTGACAAGCCACCTGTTTTGAGTCTGCCTCAATTACATTTTACACTCTTCAAGTTTGAGATTTGAGGTAGTTTTCAAACCGGGCTATAATATTTTAAAATTTTCACATTATGCCTTGAGCTTTTGAAATTGTGTTAATTATATACCTTTTGAGTATTTACACGTCTAATCCTTTATTATATTAATGTGTTTTCTTGTCAATGACGTGTAAATGTGGCTGATTGTAAGTTAATGCATTGCATGAAGCTTCTGCTCACATGCAACTAAAGAATCCAAAATGTGATATGAAGTTCAACGAGAGAGAAAAAGTAAGAGTTCAATGACAGATGCAGGATATTCTACGCTATATTCTTCTAGCCTGCAGACGAAGGATTCAAACTTAAGTTCAAAGATGAGCACATTACTTTAGCGAACATGGCTAAGCGTCTGCAAATTGAAACGAAAATTAAAGTGAAGAGTTGAGAGAGAGAGAGAGAGAGAGAGAGAGAGAGAGAGATTGATCCAAGGCTGAAACTTTGGGATGAAAAGATGTGCAGAAATCTCAGGAAGCGACAGAACGTGAAGAACATGAATGTTTATATAATTATATTAAACAAAAAGCGGTGAGAATTCAATTCTATTTCTTAATTTGGTGATCTAACTTGTCATATGTGCTCCCTCTTATCTACGTAGGTTTGAATTTACATTTTTGTAGTTTAAATTATTTGTTTTTATTGAAATAATAGTGCAGGAGAAGAAAACCGAACGTAAAATTTCAAATGTAAGAATAAATTTTTAATCACTTGAATTATAAGTGAGCACCTCCAATGAAGATGTCAAAAGATAAACGTTAATTGTTAATTTGATGACTGACATAACAATGTCAAATTTTCTCTTTTTCTAACCGATATGTTTTTTCAATCCACATAAAGATAAAAATTTAACAACCGTGTAAGAGGAAAACACAGATATATGAATAGCACCATCGTTTCTTAATTTAGGCCCGATTTGTTGTATTATAATTTTTTTTTTATTACAAAAATATAGTGGATTATATATTCTACTCATACACTAAACCTAAACGCTCAACAAGGGCTGTATTGTAAGCTTTGCATTGGAGACCATAATTGATTATATTATGGAGAACTAAATACCTAGTCATTGGCACTTCTAGGTGACTTTCTTTAAGTGCTTATAACAATTAGCATCCAAAACCCAACACAGACAAAATCGGAGAAAAGAGGCCCAAACTCATGACCCAACCTGTCGCTCTTAACCGATTGAGCTACAAGCCTCTTGCATAACACTATAATAGTCGATTATTGCAAATAACGGATAGACCGTCACGTTTAACTTGTCATACCGCGGCCAATTCGACAGTCACGCTTTACAGGATTTGGCTTTAAAATATATAAACGCATTGTTGCAAATACATGGATGAGGAGATACCAACAAAAACCATACTCGCATAAAGAAAATAATTGAAAGCATCATTTTCTGAAATCATCTTGAATTGCTAATGCACAGCGTCACCAAAATCATAACCAAATATATCGAAACAAAAAGTAGAAAATAACAAGAAGCTTGTAATGTCTATATACTTAGCTATAAAATAATCCAACGCAAAGAAAGAAAAATGTTACTTTCGGTGTAGTCGTAATTTAACTTGGAACCAAATTTGTTTTTCTGTATTTTTAGATCAAATTGAAGATCAAATCCAAGAATATAGGAGCTTTGGGACTAAGAAACTATTGTCACTGCCAAATCTCTAAAAAGTAGAATCATGTAGCACACGCAACGAACTCGTTTATATATTAGAGTACCTGCATAAACAACTCTATCGTTCATGAACAACCCAAAGTTCTGAAGAACAGATGTGAGTACCTGCACAAACATTCGGCGCGTACCCCGCTGCTCGATCCTTTTAAGTAAAAGTTTAAACAAATGCATTATAGTAGTTTGAGAGAGGCGCATAGCTACCGGCGAAGTTCAAGGAAAATAGAAGCTCTGCAGATAGCAGGCCGGGACCCACAACCATTCAAAAATTGAAGATCCCACTAGCAGGGCAGTGAAGAAATCCCCGGGAGAGTGCAGAAACACAAAATTGAAGCTCTAGCCGGCTGGGACCAACAACCATGCAAAATTGAAGATCCCAGAGCAGGGCAGTAGTGAAGCACAAAAATCCCAGGGGCCAGGGAGTGCAGAAGAACAAAACCAATGAAGCAGAAGAACCAGACGACACCTCAACACAAAAAGCACAGAAAAAGCATAGAGTTTTAGCAGCATTCTCAGAAACACTCTTAAACAAAGTTATAATGTTTAAGACTCTACCTTTAAGATCCTTATCCCTACGCCTATTTTGCAAAGGTAAGTAAAACGAGCTAGAGTTAAGAAAGGAAGGAACTTAACCAAATCAGAGAGACAGTAGAGGCTGAGGGCGTCCCCCAATTTAAACATAGTTGTCCTGATGTCCAAGCACACTAAACAACACTTAATCCCAGTATATCTTCTTAAACAACACCGGCTACCCATCCATGCACTCCTTAACTCCTGCTTCGGCGGCGATCCTTTAGACCATTGCTGCAAGTATTCAGCACCATATTTCAGAGAACAAATAAGCAATGGCAACTGTTACACAGCTACTGCCATACTCTACCATCCAATATTGGAACAGTAAATAATGTCCGCATGCATAAGACATATATACCATCATGACATGAATGAAATGGAAAATCATCCTTCCAACACAACTAGTTTCATGCTGTAGAATAAGGGTTTCATAATCTTGCATCAGGATTTGCTAAAATGTAGTGCAAGGAGCCTTACCCATTGGCATATGGCAACTCCTCCCGCCCACGGTATGGTGGGGACCTGCTGCGGCTATTCCCTCGTGGTGTCAAACTGCGACGCCTAGGGGATCTCCCACGAGGACTGTAGCTCCTGCTTAACAGTAGAGAGATGTCAAAAAAGGTATTAGATAAGAGAAATCATCTCCAACCTAGATATAACAGCTGCTATGAGATATGTTTGTGAACTTGCATCCAGCAAGCCAGCTTTCAATACCAAATACACCAGAACACAATATTGTTTGATAACTGACTACCGTGAGAAAAATAAAATGGGAATTAAGTAAAGAATATACGGCAAAATGACATCACCTGCGACCATAACTAGGACTTCTGCGATAGCGAGGGGGAGTGCGGCTACGACGCCTTCCACCACCACCTCCACCACCACCACCACCACCACGAAGACGACATTCACGAGCAAAATGGCCAGGCTCACCACACTCATAGCACTTCAAATCAGAACCGCCAGAGCGGCCACGACCACCTCCACCACGACCACCACCACCACCACCTCTAGAGTTGTGTGAAAGCTCAACTCTCCAGTTATTCTTACCTGTTCCAAAATAAAAACTCAACATTTTACAGCTCAAAAAAATTTAGAACACCAGAAAACAAAGAGAAAGTTTTTACAGCCAGTAATACCATATAAACTACTCGATGAGAAGGCTTAAATTGAAATAAAATAAAGCCATTGTATGAATCGTTGACAAACAAGTTGAAAATATAATTCCAAGGAGGGCATGAGACCTCCATCCCTTAGGAAGGGACAGCTAGCCTGGGCTAATTAAAAGTTCAACAAAAGCCAAACCAAAGACCCATCAATGCATAAGTAAAGGATTAACATCAAAAAAGAAACGGTGTATCATAAAAAACAAGACCGCAGGTCACAATTCTAGAAGAGGAAAACAGAATACTCACAACTCAAGCAACGGTATCAATATTGTTCAACTAAATTACACGTTATATGATGAGCATTGTTTTGATTGAGATATCTCACATCTCAAAAAGTTCAGAAATTTCAATGAAGGTGACGACCACAGTATATAGAGAAGAAACCTAGACCTAGTTGAACACGCATAATTCGTGAAAAATCACAGGTTCCATAAGGAAGATTTTGAAATACGCATCTCAAAACAGATACCATCATTCATTGTTCAGCTGAATTATGCTGCTTCACAAACAAAACGTTCCGATGAACTTATGCTTCTCCCTAATGGCGGATTCAAATGATATAAACTAAGAAAACCCCGTATTAAAAATCAACAGCCAAGTACTAAACATACCATCTATTTCACGGATTGCATCCTCTGCATCTCTACTGTCATCGAAGTCAACAAAAGCATAACCCGGTGGTCTCCGAGCAACCCACACGCTGCGAAATTAACAACACAAAAGATCAACAACCATCCTCCATAAAAATAACACCACTTTACGAATCCGTGCGTAAATTACTACAAATATTATAACAAATCAGACAGAAAGGTCAAAAATTTAACAGCGAATTACCTTCTAATATTTCCAAAAACACGAAACTCGTCTTCGAGCTCTCCCTCGGACACTCGAGGACTCAAGTTTCCGACGTACACACGAGACATTCTTCGAATCAAGCTGTAAAATCACAAACTAAAAAGCAAAAGCAAAGAACACATTTTTCAAATTTAATCAGAAATTAACAACGATTAGTAGTGAAATTTAGGGATTTGGGGGATTAAGAATCGAACTGAATATAAATCATGAAAGGGGAAAGAGTAGGAGAGAGATCTGAACCTTGAGCGTTGCCGAAATAGACGGAGAGAAACCCTAGCAGCAGCTCCTTTTTGGGGGTCGGTCACTCAGGTTTTGGATTTTATAGGAGGCTAATTGGTCAACGACCCCTCTAAAGTTTAAAATCTCAGATTGGCCCCTCAAAGTTTTTTTTTTTTTCAATCCGCATATCCCCTCAGATTTTTTTTTTTTTTTCCCTCTTAGTATCCCATGTAATCGCATGACACATTATTTTATGAAGTATAATGCGTAGATATGCAGTATCACTCTCGCAAACGAGGTTTTTAGGTGAGCGGGATTGTACCTTTCTGTTCTATTTTTGACATACCCATAGCTGACATGCTTAAGGATGTACTCAAAATTTTTGTGGAATTTGACTCTAATGAAAGATGTTCATTTTTCGCTTCAATAATTTCTCATTTGAGATATTCGACATGTATATCGTGAACCAAATTTTATTATTGATGCTCTTGCTTCATGTGGTTGTATTCTTCCAAATACTTGTATTTGTGGGTCTAAAGTTGATTTATGATAACATGCAATTGAGATGCCTAATTTGGAAGACAATGAATATGATTTCATTTTCTTTATCATCGTTCAAAGATCATCTTTAAACACTGATTTGATTTGGAAACCATTTAGTCATCCATATAAATCAACTATTAAATTATGAAATTATTTATTAACTATTAAATTATTAAATCTATTTGTAATTTTTTTTAATTTAATTAGACTTGTGTGACCCATTTATGTGTCACATCAACACATAATAGAGTTTTTGATAGAATTGTGACAAAATGATTACATTGATTTGAGACACTTACTTGAGGGACTATATTGATCAATTTTCAATTTCAGGAACCATTTTGATGTCATGGGCAATTTCAAGGACCATTTGTGAGGAAAAAAAATGACTTATGGAGCTCATTTATGTGTCACATTAGCACTTAACAGATTTTTTTAATAGAATTGTGACGGAAGGATCACATTGATTTGTAACACCCATTTTCAGGGATTATATTGATTGATTTTCAATTTTAAGGATCATCTTGATGGTGATGATCAGTTATAAGGATCATTTATGATAAAAATCCTAAAAAATAATCACTCCATTTTTTGCTGTTAATTTTTTATGGTAATGGTGTGCCTTAGGAGCCCAAGAAATTAGAGCGGTATTTGCATAAGCCTAGATAAACATTTTGCAAAGAAGGCCCAGCCCAACACACGGCGAAGAGCAGTGTCAACTTATTAGCCCAGGTTCAAATAACATGCACTTGTATCTACATTGCTCAAGACCCAAAGCTCTGTACTGCAGCTCATAATTTATTTCCATCGGAAACCCCAGAACTATAGACATCAGATGAGAAAAAAGAAAGAAGAAACAAACCCTAGGTCCTAGGGCGAGGAACGGGAAATAGGGAGAGAAGAGTATAATGGTAATTGCAAAGGTAAATCTCATGATCAAGGACCTTGTAATTGAGAAGAAAGTTTTTAGTGTGCAGGGAATACGGTATGGTACATCAAGTGTCATAATACAAGTGGTTGGGAAAAAAATATTCAAATATCCAACCACTTTTATTATGACATTTGGTGTACTGAGTCATGTGTCCAGCACCTTAGAAAATCTCTCGTAATTAATACCATAACTGTAGGATCTTCATTCAACAATTCTCTTAGGTCTTGTTTGGTATTCTTTTTTATTTAATTTTTTTGCTTTCAAAAACACTACTAGAGGGGACTGATTAATGCAAATCCATTCCAAATTCACCAAATCTCCAAGCTTTTACTTTGCTGTATAATCATGTTCATCTGAATCGTCTCTAGTGATTTGTGGAGCCTTGGGTCATATAATAATTAAGCTCTTTTGAATTGGATGCTTCAAAGCTAGCCGAAAAAAAGAGTTCCCCCAATTGCTTTCGATCAAAGATTCAATCATAAAATGTCTTTGATTCCAACAAGAAGACGAACAACTTTCGTTTGTGTTAAAATTTGAGACGGCGTGTAGATTTCTTATATTTATTTTCTTTTTCATCTTTTTTTGTTTTGTTTTGAATAAAGGATATTTTCTACTCTAAGGGGAGGGGATGAGCTTTGCCTCACAATAGACTAGCAATAATGTGATTCAAATTCACCTTTTGGCGAGAATCGAACTTAAGGCTCTCACTTACAAGTGTAGAAAAATATCATTAGACCGTAGTACTAAGTGGCTTTATTCATTTAGTTCAAAGTACTTTTATAAACTTGTTACTTTGGAGTTTGGAGTGTAGAACAAACTAACTCTTTGCCATTCACACACTCACTTTTACTTCTCACACATCCATTCAATTTTTTGGTCGTCGGATTGAATGAATAGATTAAGATCAATGACCAAAAATTAACAAATATGTGTAACAGACAAAAATAGGTGTGTGAATAGCATTATCCCTTGCGAAAGATAGGATCAGTAAACGGAAATTCACTAAGATTGAATTGAAGTGGGATCTTCAATAGTGGTACTGAGGGTGTCTTTAGAGTATATCTAATTAGTATAGCTATCATTCTTCTCTTCTGACATGTCAATGGAATTTCAATCATAATATAAAAGAAGTGATACAAAATTTCTTTCTTCCTTAGCATTTCATGCTTAAGCTCTTCAATCCTTAGTGCAAGCACTATACATAGTTAAAACTAATTTTATTTTATTCATTAAACTACTTTTTAATCACTTTCACTGAGGAAGAACAAGCCAATTTGATATGCGTTGCATCTTTTGCGGCTGCTCCACCCCTTTCTTCCCTTTCTTTCTTTGTTTTCTTTCTTTTGTACTCGTGCTTTTTGGAATTTAGCTCTACTTTCTATAGAACATTCTATTTGTCCATTTCAATTGAAAATGATCATAGCATTGGCCCATTTCAAACCTTGTCTAATTTCAAAGTACTAGGTTAGACTCTTGTGAAAAAATAACTTATCTCTCATGAGTGTATACGCTCATTTCATATAATTTTTCTTGTCTCAAAAACAAGATAAAAGAATTTCCCGTCACAAAAAGTAATCAAATTTTGTAATATCGTGTCTGATGCAATACGTTGCTTGAGCAAACTGTTCTTAAATCTTACGAGGAGACTAATAATCCTAAAAAAAAAAAACAAAACAAAAAAATACATTAGTCATCATTTTCTTCCTAATCAAAAGATACATAACTCGTCACAAAATATTGAGTTTTATGCGTCCGACGTCGTGCATTGTACGTGTACATCACAAATCTTTCTTTCAAATGTGAGTGTTTGACGCATAACATTGCATGTGTACACATTACAAATATCTCTTTCAATCTTATGAAGAGTCTAATCATCCCCAAATGCATGAACTATATCTCTTCAAATCATGTGAAGCCATGAAACATGACATCAAATCAGACAAGAGAACACTGTGAAGTTTTCCATAGTCTTTCAAATCGTACATGTGGCATGTATTTTATATAGTTTATCATGAATATTAGCTTTCTATTGCACATTGTGAAGGCCATTACCCAAAAGAAGAAAAGTTGTAGCATGAGATCATGGATTGCGACCAGTGGCGGATCTAGGATTTTAACATCGGATGGTCCCAATTTAGAAGCTTTGAAAAAAATTAGACGAAAAACCTTGAAAAATTAAATGATGAACTACTAACTTTTCGTTTACACACTACATACTACAGCTTGGAATCATTTCCAAAATGAACCACAAGGTTTCAGTTTCAGCATTTTATACCTAAATGTTTTTATTTTCAGTTTTTATGACTGGTTTAAAACGAAGCAAACGATGCAAGTGATGCATTGTTCTGGTGGTTAGAGTTTTCTTATTCAACCACGGCGTCCCGAATTCAAACATTCTTTAGAGTTTTCCTATTCAACCACGGCGTCCCGAATTCAAACATTCTTTCTTCTTTTATTGTAAAATAAGCATAGAAATTGTCTTCTGTAATTAGAAAACGAAGCAAACAAATGAAAATAATAAAAAATGAATAAAACAAAGAGAAGAACATACACGCAAACAAGATGAAATTGATATCAATTAAAAAATAGATCAATAAAAGAAAGGAAGAATGAGGAAGCGGTAGAGAACAAAAGGATATAATTTCAACTAAAAAAAGAAAAGAAAAGCAAAGACGTAAAATAAAGTGACGTGGCTTAATTTTCTAAAAGCTAGAAAACGCCTTGGTCCAAAAGCAAATGGCCATAAAGCAAACACTTATTAAATGACAGGATGAAACGACGCCGTATTGTTGGAGAGACTTTTCAGTGTGATCGTTACACGAGACGGTACATCACGTGTTCCTAGATAAATAGTGGGATATATGTGTTAAAAGGTTTTAAAATTTTCCATCACTTACATAAAAACACGTTGTATACCATCCGTGTTCCTGTCACAACTAAAAATTTCTCATATTGTCGAGCGTAAAAAGTTGAAAAAAGCTGTTTTTCTTCTTCCTCCTCCTCAGGTTTCCCTTTTTGGTCTTCTTTCCCCGCGGGCACTACCACCAAATGCCCAGATATGGCTGGTTTGGTATTGTTGTGCTTTGAAAAAAAGCTGCTTCTGCTGTGCTGTGAGAATAAGCAGCTGTGAAATAAAGCAGCAAAGTGTTTGGTAAACTTTTTTGTAAAAGTGCTTTTGAAAAAAAAAAAGTAATATTAGAGTGTTTGGTAAACTTTTATGTAAAACAGATGTGAAAAAAAGCCGGTTTTTCAAAGCTGGGTTTTGCAGCTTCTTGTTTTTGGCTTTTTTTCATCCAAAACTGTGAAAAAAAAGCTGAAGCTGAGTGTTTACCAAACATAAAAACAGCTCCCAGCTTTTTTTGATAACAGCTTTTTTCAGAATCACCTCAGTACCAAACCAGGTCTTAGATGGTCCTCAATGGTCTTCACAGCCAACTATTCTGACTTTCGGATTGTCCTAGGACCATCTTGGTCTCTTAATAGATCCGCCCCTGATTGCGACAGAAGACAAGAGAACAAAAAATTCCACAACCAAGGCAAATACCAACCATGCAATAATAACGTGTTACCTGACAAAGCTGACTTGTTTAGAGGTTGTGAATGGCTTAAGTCCCTTTTCAAGCACAAGTCGCCGCCCATGATATCAGAAAAATGAAGGGTTTGTGTTCACTCTCCATGACATCATTTCAATCTTCTTTGGGATATTATTAAGTGAGCTTGTATACTTATTGAATTATATATGCTCATCGGGCATTCGGAGAGCGTAAGATGAATATCTGATAGTGCTAATAAGGATTCCTGTATTAAATCTTTTGATCATTATGATACTACGGCTCAAAGCTTTGGTGCATACATGATTTTATCTATTTATTTTTTTCTATGTGGGAGAAGTGGCCTTCCATGAACAAATGAGTATGTCAAACTTGTCACTTTCTTTATAATGTGGCGAGGCTTTCTGAGATAAAACTTTACATTTAATGTGAGCAGCTTGTAACTTGTACCTTAAATAGTTAGAATCATTTATTTTTGCACTCGAAGTCTTAAATTCCATTATCCTTTCCTAAACATCACTAGTAGAGGTCAACTAGGCCTTGCCCATGCTTAACTAATAAATGTTCTCATTGATTAAAGTTTTTGGTTTGGATTCATATCAATTAAGAATGAGATAGGAAGGAAATATACTCAATTTTTTTCTCCATAAATTTTCCTGAGACTTGAATATAATGATTTGTCATTTAGTACTATGGTCTAGTGGTATTTTTTTTCATTTATAAATAAGAGGTCTAAATTTGAACTTGGCGTTTTCTACCAAAGATAAAGAAAGGGTGGTGAAAAATAAACTCTTTTTTTATGTATCTCGGTGCCTAAGATTCTAGGACAAATATTTTGTGCATTAACTAGATCTCTCTACAGAGCTGACATGTCTTATATTCAATTATTGACAAATGCAAATTCGAACCAAATTATTATGATTAACCCTATTATGAAGTTTAGCCCACTTCCCATCCCTTGGCACACATAATATCAATGTATTAAAAACATAATAATTTTAGGGTAATGTTAGGAAGACTGAATTTGTATACAAAATCTTGTAAACTAAATGACATAGAAGTTGACGATTGAATTATTACTTAAGCGTTCATAAATATGTTTATTTCCTATTGGTGACGCATCATTTAAGTTACAAATTTTATCTATAAATAAATTTATTCTTCCTAACATTACTCTTAATTTTATATTCAATACGTTAAAAGTGGCACAATTCGCATGATCATTGTCCAATTTTTTTGTGCCCATATGTTACTTGCCGTACAAGTCGCATCAATGATCAATTAGATGAGCATGCTTCTACTTACTTATTTCAATCTCATATTAAATTAGACGAGGAATGTGGGTTTTCTTCTGCACTTAAGTTTGAATTTCTCTATTCGTAGTTCAGATTAAACTAGAATATGATTCAAATAAAAAAAATTAAGATAAATTACACAAAACTATCTCAACTATGGATTGAACTACAATCTCATAAATATGCTTATTTCCTATTGGTGACACATCATTTAGTTTACAAATTTTGTCTATAAATAAATTTAGTCTCTCTAACATTACTCATAATTTTAGAGAGCTACTAGACTCACCCCATTATCTTATTTTCCCACCCACCTTAAAAAGTTAAAAAATTAAAATGTTATTTCCTGTCACATCCCGGCCCGGGGCGGATCACTTCCCCGGCCCGCTCCACCACCGTAGCACGATATTGTCCGCTTTGGGCTTACCATTCCCTCACAGTTTTGTTTTTGGGAACTCACGAGCAACTTCCCAATGGGTCACCCATCATGGGATTGCTCTAGCCCTCTTCTCGCTTAACTTCGAAGTTCCTACGGAACCCGAAGCCAATGAGCTCCCAAAAGGCCTCGTGCTAAGTAGGGATGGGATATACATATAAGGATCACTCCCCTGGGTGATGTGGGATGTCACAATCCACCCCTCTTAGGGGCCCGACGTCCTCGTCGGCACACACGCGACCAGGGTTAGGCTCTGATACCAAATGTCACATCCCGGCCCGGGCGGGACCACTTCCCAGGCCCGCTCCACCACCGTAGCACGTTATTGTCCGCTTTGGGCTTACCATTCCCTCACGGTTTTGTTTTTGGGAATTCACGAGCAACTTCCAGTGGGTCACCCATCATGGGATTGCTCTAGCCCCATTCTCGCTTAACTTCAGAGTTCCTACGGAACCCGAAGCCAGTGAGCTCCCAAAAGGCCTCGTGCTAGGTAGGGATGGAAATATACATTTAAGGATCACTCCCCTGGGCGATGTGGGATGTCACATTTCCTTACCCACTATTATTTCCAAAATAACCTTTAGTATATACATACATATGAAATTATAAAATTGTCTCTTAAAAAAAAACAAATAATATGTAAATGAAAACCATTGAGGTCTGCAAATTCAAATGGAAATGACAGAGGTATCCAAATTCAAAAGAATTCGACAACGATAAATTCAAAAGTACAATGGACAAATTCAAATGATCTATACACAAATTATTCTTCTACCTTTTCAATGGAAACATAATCTTCTACTTCTTCCGTAGAAGCGTCATCTTCCACCCATTCAATGAAAAAGTAATCTTCTAAGTCCATTGATATTTTTTTACTTTCTCTAAATGAAGAGAGATGAAAATATGAGTTAGGGTTTAAGGTAGGCAAATCGTCTCCCACGCCCAACTTTTTTTTTTTTTTTAAATTAAACAAAATAAGATAATTAATGTCTTTATCAATCATTTTGCAAATGGACAAATTTGTAATTAAAAATTTCATTAAAAGATAGTTGGAAAGATAAGATATTGAGATGGAAATAACATCACTCTAATTTTATATTCAATACGTTAAAAGTGGCACAATACGCATGATCATTGTCCAAGTTTTTTGTGCCCATATGTTACTTGCCCATATGTTACTTGCCTTACAAGTCACATCAATGATCAATTAGATGAGCATGCTTCTACTTTAATTTTTATGAACTTATTTCAATCTCATATTAAACTAGAATATGATTCAAATAAAAAAAATTAAAATAAATTACACAAAATTACTTCAATTATAGATTGAACCATAATCTCATACCTCATGTTTTTCAAATTACAATGTCATACCTTATCTTTCAAATTACAATGTCATACCTTATCTTTCAAATTACAATGTCATACCTTATCTTATGAATTTATTATAATATTAGAATCCTGTTAACTTTTTTGTTAATTTTTTTGTTAAATATCAACGTGGCAAATGTGGACCCATATTTTTGCTGATAGATGTCAAGTTTAAGCCACGTAGACCAAAAACTAACATAAAAATATTGAAAGGGTCACTCTCTGTCCTCCCAACCTTCCTACCGTGCACAGTCTGCACCTCATTCGTCTATCTCCTCCCATCTTTGTTCTTCATCTTGATCAGCCACAAACAACAAAAAAAAGGGGAATTTTTTTTTTTCGTTAATCTCCCAAAATTCCTTGGTATGAACACCGATCAGAGCAAAACCCACATCCCATAATCCGATTTCGAGCTCCAATGTCTAAGGACCCATCCTAGACCGACCAAGAATCCATGCCGTTCTTCGAAGCTTTGAAGAAGTTCAACCGTTTGAAGCCATTGGAGGCTTGGAGCAGTCTCTGGGCATTCTGGATTTTTTCCAGTTGCATGATTCTGTGCACAGAGTTGTGGTCGAAAGGTATCAATTCCCAGGCCAATCAGAGCGGTTCATGTGGTTGCAGAGTAATGGGTTGGGTTAGGACTGGAGGGTTGAGTTTCTAGGAGAAGAGGGTGGTGGGTGTGATGTGTTTGAAGGGGACGGTATGGTCCCCACCGTCAAATCGAGAGAAACGAGGGAGCCGCCGTCAAATTGAGATAAATGAAGGAGCGAGAGGTCTGAGATGGAGAGGATGAAGCAAAGAGATCCAGAGAGATGGACTGAGATCAGTGAGATCCGTGGGAGGCAGGACGTGGAGCCCGAGATGGTGTTTGAGGGAAGTGAGGATCGAGATTTGGAGCGGCAGGGGAGGCTTTTTGCTGGAAATTGGGGATTAGGGTTCTCGAGAGGGTGGAGGATTTTTGGCTGGGGCCCTGGTGGGGCGCACGCAGTTCACGATTTTATTTTTTTTAATTTTAATTTTTTCAATTTTTTTTTATTTTGTTAAAATTTTTTTTTTATTCCACGTGGAGGAATTAAGGAGTTTAGTTAGGCGAGGAGTGGACCCCACATGTTCTATGTCAGCATTTAAAAGCAAACTTAGTAGAAAATTTAACAGATGTCTATAATAAATTTGTAAGTTGATGTATGAGTATGACATTAAAATGTTTAAAACATAAAGTATGAGATTATTATGCGATCTAAAATTGAGTTGTTAAAATGTAATTTACTCAAAAAATTTATGTAATAAAAATGTTGGTTTCTAATTTTTGTTGGTTAAATTCCAAAGGTAAATGTTTTTAGTTTACTCTCTCTTACCAAAATTAAACAGTGGCAATCTCGAAATTCAGAGCAAAAAGTTGGCGTGTTTCACCAAATTCTCACGTTAAAAATGAGCTCGCACTCGCTCCCGTAATCACTTCTCACAAGTGACTGATCCCAAGAGAGTAGCCCACCAAATTCCAAAACTCCCACGACCGCCTTCGTCCTCTTCCTCCTCCTCCTCCTCCTCCGGCAATCGCCTGACACCTTCCAGAGATGGAATATTCCGGCGATGAGTTCGACGTCATCGTAGTCGGAGCCGGCGTCATGGGAAGCTCCACCGCCTACCAGACCGCCAAGCGCGGCCACAAGACCCTCCTCCTCGAGCAATTCGACTTCCTCCACCACCGCGGCTCCTCCCACGGCGAGTCCCGGACGATTCGTGCCACGTACCCGGAAGATTACTACACGCCCCTCGTCCTCGAGTCCTACAAGCTCTGGCAGCAGGCGGAGTCCGAAATCGGCTACAATGTCTACTTCAAAGCCAACCAATTGGACATGGCCCTGGCGAACGACAAGTTTCTCCTCGCCGTTGTAGAGAGTTGTCGGAAAAACTCGGTCGCGTTTTCGGTCATGAACCGGGACCAGCTGCACCAGGAGTTCTCGGGTCGGTTTATGATTCCGGAGGATTGGGTGGGTGTTGTGACGGAGCACGGCGGGGTTATTAAACCCACCAAGGCGGTGTCAATGTTTCAAACGCTCGCTTTGCAGAACGGCGCCGTTTTGAGGGATAATATGGAGGTGAAGGGTGTGGAGAGAGATGGGGTGAGAGGAGGGGTTTGGGTATCCACAGCAAAAGGGGAGAGGTTTTGGGGGAAGAAATGTGTGGTGACGGTTGGGGCTTGGATGACAAAGTTAGTTAAAACGGTTGGCGGGATCGAACTGCCGATACAGCCGTTGGAGACCACCGTGTGCTACTGGCGGATTAAGGAGGGGCACGAGGGTGCTTTTGCTATCGGAGGAGACTTCCCCACCTTTGCTAGCTATGGGAACCCCTACATTTATGGGACGCCCTCTTTGGAGTATCCCGGTTTGATCAAGGTCTCCGTGCATGGCGGCTACCCGTGTGACCCCGATAAGAGGCCATGGGGTCCAGGGAACCCGCTGGCTCCGTTGAAGGAGTGGATAGAGGGGATGTTCTCCGGCGTGGTTGACTCCGGCGGGCCGGTGGCTACACAGTTGTGCATGTACTCAATGACCCCGGATGAGGATTTTGTGATCGATTTCTTGGGTGGGGAGTTTGGGAAGGATGTGGTGGTGGGCGGTGGGTTTTCAGGTCACGGGTTCAAGATGTCGCCGGTGGTGGGGAGGATTTTGGCTGACCTTGCGCTTACTGGGGAGGCTGAAGGAGTGGAGCTGAAGCACTTTAGGATGGCAAGGTTTCAAGAGAATCCCAAAGGCAATGCCAAAGACTTTCTGTAAATGCTTGTAACAAACCTCTGCAAAATTTTTGTACAGAAAATAAGACAAAAGAAGAGTGTGAGCGGGACGAACTCAGAAATTTCTTCTAGCGGGGCAATCGAAAATAATTAAGAAAACTTTATTATAGTATGGTTATGCGCAATATGATATTAATGATGATTTCAAATGATGATGTATCACAATTTTAATGTTACAAAAATTTCAATATAGTAGTGGAAAGTGGCAAAATGATGAGAAAAATATAAATACATGAAAGGTGGGAGAGGGTTTTTTTGGTTTGAATGACAAAACAAGAGCACTATTACTCATATGATATTTGATATGGAGTATAAGTAGAATGAATATATATTGAATATTAGATATATATATTTTCTTCAAAGATAATCCGTTTATATTATATAATTGTAGTCTGTAACTAAGCAAACGAGAATCAAACTTAAAATATTTCACTTAAAAGTGAAAATGAATACCATTCACCGTAGTACTAACTACTAAGTGGCTTTAAATGTAAAAAATAAAAAAATAAAAACCAATTTTAGGAATAGAAAATTGGAGCTTTTTTTTTTTTTTTTTTTTTTCCCCTAGTTGTCATTTTGATAGCTTTTCTAGTTGATTTGTCAAACAATAGATTATGTTAGATTAAATGTTAGATTAGCTACCGATGAGGTTTGAATCCACGCCGTCATGTAAGGACTCAACACCTTTCTACTACTGTGATAAAAGACCACTTGCAAAAATTGGAGCGTTTTGACCCGATTAGAGGTGTGGTCTATAAACTAACTGAGATTTCTCTATGCTCGGAATATAAGCCGGTACAGCACATGTCATAGTATATAAATGGAGAAATGTTTTTTTTCCAATCACCCCTTCACTTGTATTATGATATATGGTGTACCGACCAATTTTTCCAATACACTACAAAATTTCTCCTCAAGCAAAAACATGTGAGTACCGGTCCCCTTTTCACAACATAAAACAATGATCCTTTTAGGTGACAAATTAAAAACTTCCGTCTGGTTGAAAGTTCTAATGTTGTTTAGCAAAGAAAAAATCATCGCTCCACATTATAAAAAAAAAAAAAAAAACTAATGAAAATAGCTTAAAATTTTTGAGTTTTAACAATAATGACAAAATAAAGAGTAAAATGAATAGTACCAAAACTGACTTTTTAGTGTAAAAATGTGATTTTTAGTTAAAGTGAATAGTATTGTAAGGTTTTCGTTAAAACTCCCTATAAAAAATTCATGAACCAAAGCTTTAATTAGGTCAAAGTCTCGAATATGAAATATGAAATAGTCGAAATTCTGAAAAATTAAAGAACAAAAGCATTAATATATGCCTGAAAATTTACATTACACGACAATATCGTCATGACAAAGTACTAGGTTGGAGCATTTTGTTACACAGCTAAATTCTCTCCAATTATATAGAGAGAACCCTATTGTAGTAGCAGCTACGATGTACAACCTTTTGTGGTTGGGTATTAAGAAAACAAATGAACTATGTTTGTTTCCCTATCATCGAACTTTCTTTTCTTATTAGGATGCAACCAAGCTTCTCAGATTCATTCGTATAAAAACTGCGAATCGGAATCGCTCGGTTGTGGAAAATAATCAATGGATCTAATCGCATCTACGGAGGAGAAAATAAATAGCAGATTTAAACTTCCAGCTTAATACCCCATAAAGCATTACCATCGTCGGGACACAAGGACTCCAAGCCCTTCAAAATGTGAACCTGCATCACAAGGAAATGCAACGCGTAAGTTCTGAACTTCGCAAACACAAAACTATAACATAAAAATGAGCAGTGCTTTTCACACTATCGTTTTCTCCTTCTGCACCCTTCCTTTAAGTCTCTCGATTCTCCTTTGGTTTATTTAATCCAAATATTAGTTTATAGGGAGAGTGCAGGGGCGTAGAATAACGAAGGACAGAAATAAGCAACTAATGAAGAATCTTTCTAACCACTTCTGGCTTTTCAAGAGAATCCTTCTAACCGCTTCTGGCTTTTCAAATTGCAAAAGTTGCAAGAAGCGCATGCAGTACAGCCCAATATAATATAATGCCAAGACGTAAAACAGGCTTCCGCATTAGAGTCCGATCACAAGATACCCTGAAAGGTTGTGTACACGACGATTTAGTTCTCACAAAATCTAGGTAAGTTTTAGATTGAAATATTACCAAGAAAAGAAAACAAGGACTGGATATGCTTACCAAAGGCCATCAACCATGTTAGCCACGGGTCTAGTAAATCTTGGAACAATTCTTGAAGTCGTGAGTGACTTGAAACCATGAACTACAGCCGAAGAAAACAAATGTTAAACCAGTAAGAAATGCCTTCAGTGACCATCTGACTTGGTATTGAAGGGCAAAGACCAGTAAAAGATGGCAGCAATTATATCAGCATAGGATTACCTTTATCGTCCTCTTCATCTTCCAACCTACTACTGCTCCCAGAATCCATATCTATGGCAATTGCAACTTGGTCATTATTGCCCTTGCGCAAACTACGGACTTGAGGTGCAATGGAGGTCCCAGCTTTCACCCAGTTGTTTTTCTATTAAAAAAATCCACAAAATAAAGCTTTTAATGACATTACAATACTCTGACAAAGGGCGAGAGAATGTAAGGTGGTAAATAAATAAACAAATATATAAACATCTCACCGCAGGCTCGACCTCAACAATTTCAGAGGTGCTGCTAGTTCCCCGACCAGAATCTTCCACACTGTCAAGCAAATTTAGCCGTGATTCCTTCTCATGTAAAGACTTCTCAAGAGTTTCTCCTTTGCGTGTTAATTCTTCTACCTTACTCCTTTCTGCTTGCAACAGTGTATCCTTGCTTTGAGCCACAGTTCGTAGATCCCCCAATTCTGAAATAACTGAATCAATCTTTTTCTTGAATATTTCCTTGTAGTCAGAAACTTGATCACTGTTCTGATCCCCATTGTGCAGCCCAACCCGAGCAATATTCATGTCAAACCATGTTAATAACTCATGGATCTCTTCTGAACTTCTCTTGTTGCTGGTTTGTGATGCAACAAGAACATCATTCGTGCACCTAGTGACCTCTTGCCTTAAGAAGGATATCTCATCATCCCGTTCTTGCAACTGTGATTGGAGCTTTTCCACCTCACCAAGGAGGCTTGCAGACAGATGATGTAGTTCATCAAACTTACTCACAGTGATGGAAAGCCTTTTCATAACCTTCCCGCGGGAAGTTTCAAGGTTCTCCAAATCTAGGTTCTTTTGTTCCACAACCTTTTCCATTTCCTTAATCCTGGAAGTGCGACCTTGCATCTGCACCTCCTCCTCATCAAGTGCTTGCATTAGGTCCTCAATTTCTGCAATCACAAACAATTTTGATAATTGGTGATTAGTTAATATAACCACTTCAAATTTCAATCAAATATAAAAACTGTAGTAGACTCAATAACTGACCTTGATCTTTAGCAGCAATCACATCAGTCAGTGATCTGACCCTCTCTTGTAACTCGGTAGAAGTAGCACGGCCATCTTCTAATTCATTCACTCTCTGCTCCAATAAGTTACGTTCACCCTTCATCACTTCTATCCGTTTCTCCAAATCATGCACCAAAGATTTTGAAGATTGAAGATCTGTTGAGTAACTTGTTGCAGCTAATTCAGCTTGCTTGATTTGACTTACAAACTCCATGCAAATCCTTTCCTTTTCAATGTCCTTCTCCTGAAGCTCTTTCTGCAACTTTGAAATGGTAATCTTCAACTCCTTTTGGCTACCTTCCACAATTTCCGTTGTCAGAGAACCAAAATCACTCACAGTTGACAATAGCCTGTCTGTCACACTCCTGACACATTCCTCAGAGCGAAACTGGTCTTCTCCACTAAATGAAAGTCCATCCTCAGAATAATTTGCTAATTTCAATCTCATCCCTTGTTCTCCAGCAGACCAACCATTTCCAACCAATTCAGCTTTTCTTCTGCCCATTTCCATAACTGAACTAGTGCATGCTTCAAAAAGCAAGGCAATATTTCGGCGCAAGAAAAGAAGCTCATTGTCCTTTTCCTTTTCAACCCTTTCCACATGCAACAAGTCTCCCTTCAAGGCTTCAAATGACTCATTTTTGGAAGTTAATTCTCCACGAACAATTGCCATTGATTTAGATACACTGCTAGCTTTTTCATGTAATGAAATTGAGTGTTCATCTAATTTTTCTTTAAGCACACCAATCTCCATCACCAGTTCTTGCAGATAATGCCTTACATAAGTAAAGATTTCAATTATAAAACTGTCATCAAATTGGCCATGCATGTTGGAGTCTGACCAAGAATTTGTCGAAACAAAGTTCTCCTGAACAGGGAAGCCAAAATTAGAAGATGAGAAAAAAATGCCCGAACTTGATAAAAAAAAAAAAGATAATAAGAGAGAAGAATGATTCACATCAAATTTAAAGACTATGATTGTTATTCAACATATAACAGTAAAAATATAAGAATAATAGTCATTAGTGATAGTCATTAGTGATGATGATGATGATAATAACAGTAATGGTAATGATAAGACTAACTATAATCCAAAATTTGGATACCAAGTGACGTGACCCTATTTATCTTCATTCTTAATCCCACATACTGTCATATGAGCCCCAATTACTTTTAGCGAAGATAATGGCATTCCATCTGTCGCATCACTTGCTATCCAAAAAGTTGGAATTTATAAATAAAGCAGACCTATAAATAGACGAGAGAGAAGTACATATACATGAAACAATTCTTCAATAATCATTTCTCACTTAAGAGGTTTCATTTCTAGTTTAACCAGCTTACTAGAGTCAACAAAGCATACATTTTCCAAACAAAACCACTGCACTCGTCTGACTTTAAAATGAAGGTTATTTGAATTTTCGGGCATAGGGAAGGTACAACAGAATTCAAACAAAGGACCTATAATTGGTAGAAAATGACCTTTGACAAGCCATATGGAATAATACGAATATTTAAATACGGGCATATAAAACTGGAACAAATAATCATGCGTGTGCACATAAAAAAGGTACCTTGTCTGACTTGCTCGTGATGAATCCACTGCTTGTAGTGAAAAGGGGCACATCAACCACATCGGTAGCACTGCTTGATTTGAGGCAGGAATCAATACCAGACTCCAGGTTGTGCAAAAATACCAAGTCCTGGTGAAAAATACCAGCCAATAAACTACTAACATCATGAAACCCCTTCCTAAGTTGATCTACACCAGACTTTAGTCCTGAAAATTCAGAAAATTTGTGTTTTCTTTCCTCAAAGTGAGCAGTAGAAACCATTTCAAGACGTGAAAGAGCTTCGAGCTTGGCGGCCTCTGCAAGATCCCTTTCCTTGGAGAGTATAGCAAGTTCACTTGCAGATTTTGCTAGTTCTTCCTGGAGACCATCATTTCTCTCTTGAACCTCATTCAGTTCTGCAAGGAGTAGCTCTGATGCTCTTTTTGATTTCCTAGCTTCTTGTTCTGAAGAAGCCATATTCGCACGCAAATCACAGCACATTTTCCCGATTTGTTCTAACTTAACAACTGGATCACCAGAATTATCATCCTCTGCAACGTCAATGTTTCCTAGAATATTAATGATTAAGCTCAAAGTATTTCCTTTCTCCTGCAAATTGTTCTCAGCTTCTTTCAAACAATTCCGCAAGAATAAACTCTCAGACTCTAGGGCTTCTACTCTCCCTGGATAAGAAGACAAATCCCTGAACTTTCTTTCATATTCTGCCAGTTTACCTTCGCCTATCTTGGTCTCAGATCTCAAGCGTTCCACCTCAGAATTGATCTCATCAATATTTTGTTTCAGACTGTCACGCTGTTGCACCAATTGCTTTCCTTTTCTAACTGCAACGTTTAACTTCTCTCTAACAGAAGCTGACTTCTGCTCCTCCTGATTAAGAAGCCCTTGCAACTCATTCACTTTTTTATCTAGCACTTCTAACTCACAAGCCAAAGACCGTTGCTTCTCCACATATCCATCTCTCTCCTCCTTCATGTCCAAAATTTCACGTTGAACCTCCTCCAACTCTTTCATCAAAGCAACTGTATCTGATTCAGCAGTATCAGGTGTACTTGCGCTTCTCGCTTCAACAACCATTGCTTCAGAATTCTCAGTATGAATACCATCGGCTGCAACCCCAAACACTGGTTTTTCTGAGGAAAGAGTTGCATAATTCTCTAAAAGCTTATTCAGTAACCCTTTGAAGCACTCAATGCTGCTTTCACCAGAATACTCTGAATTTGTTCCAGGATCCTGTAATGCATCAGTAACCAGACCCTGCAATCTTCTTATGTCATCTTCTAAGCTGAGAATTTGCTTCTCAATCCCACACAGCTTGGCTACGTTCTCCTGCAAATCAGAAACTTCCTCCTGCAGTTTTTCATTCTCAAGCTCAAACCCAGCTGCCTTGGCTGAAAGTTTATCATGATCATTGATCAGAAGCTCCAATCTTTGAGAAAGATTATTTCTCTCATCAATAAATGTTTGAAGGTCTTCCTCAAGGTCAGATGTTCTCCTTCTTGAGTCTTCCAAATCAGCAGTTAGCGTTACACAATGGCTCTCAAGGTTAACAACCTTCTGCTGGAGAGACATATTATCACCCTGCACCTCCGAAAGTTCTTTTCTTAACCACTCAATCCTATCCTCCGGCTCCAAGGACCGCAGATGCAATGGCATATCAATCCTGTCTAAAAGTTCCTCCCAGCTCTGGACTAAGTTGTTCCTTTCCATTAAAGATTGCTCTAACATTTCATTCTGTTCAGCCAACCCATAGAACTTACTTTGAAGTTCATCATATTTTCTTTTGAAATCATCACTGGAATCTGAACTTGGCTGTACATCATCTTTCCAGGAATCCATAACAACAAAACCAGCATCAGATGAACCTCCTCCAGCAGAACTCTTCTGATCTGAATCTGTCTGAGGAAAAGTGTTACCAGTAACTGACCTGGCCAGCCAATCGATCTTTTCAATAATCTCTCTCGAATGAAATTGCTCTGGCAGATCAAGGTCTTCTAAAATCTCTTCTATTCTCTGAAGGACAGAGTCTTTGAGAAGGAATGATTCTCTTAATGCAGTAGCAGAATTGCGAATGTATGAAAGCTCAGATTCCAGAGCTTCCACACGCTCACCAGCTTCTGAATATGCCTTGAGCTTGGTTTCAACCTCAACAAGCCTGGAATCTTTGAATTGCAGCTCCTGTAAGAATCTTTCCAGTTCACTAGATTTCTCTGCAAGAGACTGCTTGAGACCATCTCGCTGGACAATCAAGCCCTTCCCCTTGGAGACAGCAATGCCAAGCTTCTCTCTCAGGGAAGACACTCGCTGCTCCGATTGTTCAAGTTCATATAGTTTCTCTTGTAACTCAGAACGAGTAACAAGAAGGGCTTCCTCAACCTGACGTAAACTTTCCCTGAGAACAATGGTTTCACTTTCAAGCTGAAAACACGAGGCATTTAACTGCTGTATTTCTTCCTGCATTGAAGTAGATTCCATCACCTTGGATTGAAAACCTTCTTTAGATAAGCCTACCTGAGCATCAGCATCCTTGTACTTCTGAACAAGACACGATACCAATGATTCCAAGCGTGAAGCAAGCATTTTATCTGCTTGAAACTCAGCATTTTCCACTTCTAGCACACCTTCAATATCTTCTATTAACTTCTGAATAGCACTTGAATCCAGGCATCTTTGTTTCAATTCCTCAAATTCTTCTGTTCTAACCATTAACTCTGAATTTAGCTTCTTGTTAACAGATTGGAGTTGCAGTCCCTCGCTCAGAAAATTCTCCAGCTGTTCTATGATGGTTTCATAAATACTATAATCCAGAGGATGAGGAAGCTTTTCATTTTTCAGGTTCGTCTCACTTTCATCCATAGACCCATGCAAAACTCTAAGAAGTTTGCTAAGGTTGCCGTACAACTTGTGCAGCATATCACTGGCCAATTCATTCTTTACATGGAGATCGTCACATTTCTCATTCACTTCTTTATGTAAAATACATAAAGCCTCATGGTCTGTTTGAGAGCTTTTAAGTTTCTCCTTCAAATCTTCAATAACAGTGATGGCATCATAAACAGAAGCAACGAAATGACTTGTGTCCAAACAATCATGAGACATTGGTGTAGTTGTGCTGAAACCCCCAATAGACTCACCAAGCTTTCCAATCGCTTCAACAACCGGAACGAGAGTGGAATTCCAATGCTGCTCAAGTATCAAAATCCTCTCTGCCGCTTCCTTGTGAAAATTTTCTAACTGATCAGAGATCTGAGATACCATGTCATTTGAACTCAGATGTAAATCATGCAATCGACTCTGCAATTGATTAATTCTTAATTCATATCTATGTAGCTTTCTTCCAACTTCCAAGTTTTCAGCTTCGAGATTAGTAACTTGTAGTCTTAAGGACTCACAGAGAACCAAAAGCTCACTGTTTCTTGTTTCAATGCTGCCCCTATGTTGTTCTAAAGCTTCATATAGGACACAAAGTTCAATATTGGTAGCTTCCAATTTCTTGTTATGTTCCTCCAAGTCTTCATACTGATCCTTCATCTCTCCGAATGTAGCATTAGCAGTTTTCCTACCACCTCGTTCCTCCTTGAGCAGTTCACTGGCATTTGCAGTATCCAGAAGCAACTGCTCAAATAATGCTCTCAAGTTTCCAGTTTGCTCTCTTACTGACGCAATTGAGTCTGCTGGTGATTGATTGTCAGTTAGACCTCGTTCCTCCACATCATGTTCATCAAGGTGCACCTTTGACTCGAAGGCTTGAATCAGTTTTGAGACTGGAGGAGTGGAGACTTTATCACCTGACCTATTCAACAATTCTGAACGAGAGCAGATGCCTTCAATTTCCTGTACAAGTTTGTTCATCATTTTCTCTGCCTCTTCCACGCGTCCCTTTAGTGCTACAAACCCAACGGAATCATCAAAAACTTCCCTCCCAAGACTCAGAACTGGTGAACCTCCACTGCCATCAGATGAAGGTTTTTCCACCATAATAAAGGAGCCTTCACTATCTTCCATCCCAGGAACTTGGTGATATTTTTCATTTTCAATTTCATGCCTCCTGCTCTGCACTTCTGAAAGTTCAACTTGATCCCCACCTTCCCCAGCCTGGGATGCAATTTTGATTCCACTCGTATCAACCTCTTTCATCTTAGCTTTAAGTGTGTCCAGACTGCTAGTAAGAAAGATATTTTCTTCAGAGAGTTGTTCAAGGCGTGTTGTTGTTTCTTTTTGGTCAACCACAAACCTCATATGTTCTTCATGTTCGGCAGATAACCGCTCTTGAACAAGAAGAATTTCGGAAGACAATCTCTCAATCTCGTGGGCAGAATAATCCTTCTCCTCCTTGAGCTTGTTTCTCTCCTCTGTAACCAAAACAAGGTTTCCATTCAATTTTTCATTTTTTACCTGCAAATCCAATACTAAATTCTTACTGGCAGCCAATTCTATAGCAAGTTTCTCATTCTCATAGACAAGATGATTCTTCTCTTCCTCGAGCTTCTTACTCTCCTCTGTAACCATAGAAAGGATTCCATTCAAGTTGCCATTTTCTACCTGCAAAGCCAATACTGTGTTCTTACTGTCAGCCACTTCTATAGCAAGTTTGTCATTCTCAGAGGAAAGATGCTCCTTCTCCTCCTCATACTTCTTTCTCTCTTCTGTTACAGAACTCAGACTCCCACTTAAGCTGGATATTTGATCCTGTAGAGCTTCCACAAAACTTTTTCCATCAACTAACTCTGCTGAAAGCTTCTCCTTCTCGTGAAGATAACGATCATTTTGCTCCACAAGTTTCTTTCTATCTTCATCCCACAAAGTAATACTCCCATTTAATTTCTCATTTTCCACCTGTAAAGCTGCCACCAAAGACTTGCAGTCAGCTAACTCAGCTGACAGGATCAACAAATCCTGCTTTGACCTTTCCAGGCTGCTATGCGACTCAGTTGCTCTAGCAGAAAATTCTTCTACCTCTGCCCTTGCAGTTTGAAGTTGGTCTTGGAGCTCCTCCTTCCCACTAGCAACAGCCTGGAGTTCACATCTGCACCCTGCAAGCTCTTCAGCAAGGCATTGGTTCTTCTCACGGACTTCATTTAGCGAAGCACGAAGAAGAGATGTTTCATCAAGTAACTGATCACGTTGGCAATCAAACTCCACTTGCACCTCAGACTGCTGCACAAGCTGCAAGTCACTGATATCTTTTGTCAAATGTGTGAGAACCAATTCTTCTTTAAGTTGCTCAAACAATTCCAGAAATCCATGTTCTGACACAATCAAATTGGTAGTCCCCTGAGAAGCACTAGAAACTGATTCAACTGACTTAATAAGAACCCTGAACTCTTCTTCACTAAGCCTCCTAACTACTTCTGTGAGCTGTGAGAGACTGATTGAGCTGGCATCTGCAACAGGAGACGCAGTCCATCCTTTATCTGGAAGCACCATATTGGTTCCTGGAGGACTTTCAAGCCCACCCAATGGATGTTTCTGATGATGATCCTCCAGAAGAGACCTATGTTCTTCCCTGCCTTGCCCAAAACCAGATCCAAATTGCACCTCGGACTTTGCTTCAAAATAAGAGCCTGGAACATCTTCTGTTTCCTGCCGGTCATCCATAGCAGCACTAACAACCAAAGATCCATCTGCCTCAGGTAGAGCTAAAGCAGATACTGGAAGTCCATTAGACATGGTTGCACCAGTTGACAGAGATGATTCATCTGCCTTGCCAATCCGTTCACCCATGGAGGACTCGAGATCAGGGAAAGTTTCAGCAGTTCTATCAATCTCAGATAGAGCTACACTTCTATCTCCTGCAAGTTCCACTTCTCGATCAGATGCTTCATCCACTTTATCAGTTTGCTCATCTATGGAAGGTGCTTGGCTAGAGAAACTTTCAACACTTTTATCAAGCTCAGATGAAGAAATCTTGTCATCTCCTTTAAGCCCCATTTCTGCTTCTTGCCTACGATCACAATTTTTTGCATCCAAACCATCAGCTTCCTGCATTGCCCCTACCCAGCAACAAATGAGATTCTAATTATACATCAAACCCATCAGTTTTCCTAACCTGCTCAATTAATCTCCTGAAGAATCCCAAAGTAATACAAAGTTTAATAACAAAAGGAGAAGGGCACAACCTACATCTGTTACCTGATCTTCCCTCTCCTGCACCAAGGATGTATTAATACTCTCTTGCGAAGACAAAGGCTCCTCATCTCTACCCCTTGTTTGATCAATATTATCAACTGAAGTAGGTTGAGTGGACACATCAACCGGCATAGACATATTGGCATCTTTGGCTAGCCCTCCGGAATCCATGACATGTGAAGTGTCCAATGAACTAACTCTTGCCTCCTCAGCATCAGTGCCTGCAGTACTCTCCCCCTCGTTCGTGGCGGAAAAGTTAACATCATGCTGACTGAATCCCACCTCCTGTGATGCTAACTCAGCATTTTTGTCAATCAAAGTTTCGACTGCATTTCCCTCATGTGTAATGGGAACTGCCAAGGGAGCAGCAGAAGCAACATCAATGTCAGAAGCTGTAGAAATCTCCCCAGAATGTGACCCTGACGAGTTGATGTTTTCCAGATTAGCATCTACACAAGACTCAGTTTCTCCTTCAGGGGCCTGTGTCAACGCTGTAGGTTTAGTTGCACTAGAGACTGCATCAGCATCAGCTTCATGCTTCTCTGATTTACTAGACTTCTTTGTGGATTTTCCACTTCCACTGCCTTTACCATCTTTTTTCTGGCGAAACTGTTGAAGCTGCCGGCAGAAATACAAGATTATATATTAAGTTCCCACAGCTCATTTGCACTCTCCAGTTGATTACTAAGACATTGAGGAACAGAGCAGAAAATAGAGTAGCAAACCTATAGACACGTACCATACAAAAAAGTTTTCCAAGTAAAAGGATACAGCTCAGACAAGTTACATTTTATCGGGAACCAAAAATTAGGTCACAAGATACATTGTCCAAGCGGTCAGTGTACCTTTTTTCGTCCGGCTGAGAGCAGATCGGTACGGCTCTTGTTCTTGTCCATCCGATTCCGATCCACTCCGTTCTTGCTCCCCACTGTGACTCCACGCCAATCACCAAAGCAACGTCTCACTCACCATATAATCCTTCCTATAAACCATTAAACACAACCACACCATTACATTCGATAGAACTACAAATACTCGTGCTGAATAGAACTACAAATACTAGAAAATAACAAAAATTTTCAAATTTCAAAACTCGAAGTTTCGTGCTGATTTCCGGCAAATGAGGACCACGCAAACACTAACTATGTTCAATTTCGATGACAACGACATTCTTATTCAATCTCCTTTTCTCGGCAGCCAAACAGGAAACAATATCATATGAAATCGGATTCGAAAAGATCCAGAACCTAATTCATTCACACTATAATCAAACAAATCTTAAAACAAGCAAATCAAAACGACGAAAACAGTATGAATCATACAATATAAAACGAGTAGATTGGAAAACTGATGGGAAGATATCGTACCTGGATGTCGCGGCAGCTGGATCGGCAGGCCGTCGCGGTTGATACGATTGCTTCGGTGGTTTCGAATGAAGGTTTGCTTTTCAATGGTGCCCTCTCGGTTTTTCTCTATCGGCGTCACTGTGTGTGTATACGGGTCGGTCCCCCCTTGTCCCTTGGATCTAACGCAACCTTCGTTTTCGTTCTGTGTCTGTGTTACGCCATGTGATTTGCCTGCGCAGGTGAAACGTCGATTTGGGAAGACAAGTGAAACGTCGCTGTGTTATAATATAAGGTAAATCTCAATTACTTTCATGATTTTCAACATTTAGTACATAGAGTTTTTTTCGTTTTAGAATTATATCTAAAGTGTTAATTTTTGGGATAATCTCATACATTAAGTTTTCTGTTAGAACTTCTATTAACTGATGACATGGTGCACAAGTAGATAATTACTGAGCGCCACATGTCAATATGAACCCACTTCAATATTAAAAAAATACAAAAAAAAAAAAAACACTCATCTTCTACCTCCCCCAACCGCGTCCCTTCCTTCTCTCCTCTGCAACCCCCACCCTCTCTTCTCTCCCTACAACCCCCAACCACCCTCCCTCCCTCCCTCCCTTCTCTCCTTTACAACCTGCACCACCCACCCTCCCTCATCTCCTCTGCAACCCGCACCACCCACCTCACACCAATGGTACCACCCACCTACCAAATCAAAATCATAGCATCGATGGAACCCTAGCCGTTGATAAGTTTGATTGTCCTTTTCATTGTAGGGCTCTATTACTTAGGATTGTTTTGTTTTGAATAAGTTCCTATTATGTAGGAAGACTAGTTCTACATAGACTATTTCTTCATGCACGTTACCACTTTCTGTTAGTGTGGATAGTGGGCTGTTTTTTAGGGTTTCATTAACTATGTAAGGCTATATAATAGCAAACGTTTCTATTCAATAAACAAGTTATTCTCCCAGTTTACTTGAGTCAGTTGTAGTATTGCTCTTGGTATTTTTGTTCTGGTTCCCAACAAACTGGTATCAGAGCCCCTCACTGGGGCCTGAGAACCGAAAAGCTGCAGCTTTTGAGTGACTTCAAACACAAGAGAGAAAGAGAGGAAAAATGACTTCTGAAGGAAGCTTCGTACAGCCTTCCATTCCACGTTTTGATGGTCATTATGACCATTAGAGCATGCTCATGGAAAATTTCCTTCGCAGCAAGGAGTATTGGAGCTTGATTGAAACTGGTTATGAAGAACCAGCAAAGGGGTCGCAACCTATATCAGAAGAACGACAGAAAGAGCTTGATGCAATGAAACTCAAGGATCTCAAAGCAAAAAACTATCTTTTCCAGGCAATTGATAGGAGCATCCTAGAGACGATGTTGGAAAAGGACACCTCCAAGAAGATCTGGGATTCCATGAAGACGAAATATGAAGGAAATGCACGAGTGAAGCGCTCAACTCTTCAAGCCCTACGGAGAGACTTTAAGACACTTGAGATGAAGGTTAGTGAAACGATCACTAACTATTTTGCTAAAGTGATGACAGTAGCAAACAAGATGAGGGTGTATGGGGAGCCTATGACTGACGTCACGATCTGTGAAAAAATCCTGCTGTCTCTCACGGACAAATTTAATTATATAGTTTGTTCGATTGAGGAATCTAGGGACTTGGATGCAATTACCATTGATGAGCTTCAAAGCTCGTTCACTGTACATGAGCAAAAGTTTCACAGAAACAGCAGTGTGGAGCAAGCTTTGAAGGCAACAACTGATGCCAAAACTGAGGGAGGTTTCAACAATCATAGAGGACGAGGGCATAGAAGAAGTAACTATAGAGGACGAGGACGTGGAAGAGGAGGCCAAGAGGTGTTCAACAAGGATACGGTGGAATGCTACAAGTGTCATAATCTTGGACACTTCCAGTATAAATGTCCTAAATGGGATAAGGAAGCTAATTATGCAGAAGTGAATGAAGAAGATATGTTGTTGATGTCATATGTTGAGGTACATGAACAGATTGATGCTTGGTTTCTTGACTCCGGATGTTCCAACCATATGTATGGCGATCGGGATATTTTCACAAACCTAGATGAAAGCTTTGTTCATTCAGTTAAATTGGGGAACAACAGTATGATGAATGTGGTTGGCAAGGGAAGTGTCTCACTGGTTTTAAATGGAATCAATCATGTTGTCAATGAGGTGTACCATGTTCCAGAGCTCAAAAACAATCTCTTGAGCATAGGAAAACTTCAAGAAAGGGGCTTGGCTATATTAATTAAAGAAGGAGCCTGCAAAATATATCATCCGACGAAGGGTCTGATTATTCAGACTAAGATGAGTAAGAATAAGATGTTTATACTGCTAGCTCAGACTTCAGTCTCTACAAGTGCCCCACCAGAAAGGTGTCTTCACACAAGCTCGCAGAATCCCTTTTATCTGTGGCATCGAAGATATGGTCACCTAAGCTACAAAGGATTGAGAACGTTGCAATTGAAGAGGATGGTTTGTGGACTTCCTCAACTTCAAACCTCAAGTATCACATGCACAGACTGCATTCAAGGTAAACAACATCGTAATGACATGCCAAAAAGAAGTACATGGACAGCAAGTCAGCCTTTAGAGCTCATTCATGCAGACATCTGTGGACCCATCTCTCCCATATCAAATAGTGGAAGGAGGTATATTTTATGTTTTATTGATGATTTTAGTCGTAAAACATGGGTGTACTTGTTGACAGCAAAGAGTGAGGCACTGCATTGCTTCCAGTTTTTCAAAAGAATGGTGGAAAATGAGAAAAGGCTAAGTGTCAAGTGTCTACGGACAGATAGAGGGGGTGAATTCACCTCAACTGAATTCACTAATTTTTGCAAAGAAAATGGAATCAAGAGGCAGTTAACCACTGCCTACACGCCGCAACAAAACGGAGTGGCTGAAAGGAAAAATTGAACTGTCATGAATATGGTTCGTTCTATGTTGTCTGATAAGAAGCTCCCAAAAACGTTCTGGCCAGAGGCAGTGAACTGGACTATCTATTCTGAATAGATGTCCCACATTATCAGTGAAGGATATCACTCCACAAGAGGCTTGGAGTGGAGTAAAACCCTCAGTCGAGCATTTCCGTGTCTTTGGAAGCTTAGCACATGTTCACGTTCCAGATGTCAAGCGAGGTAAATTAGATGATAAAAGTTTTCGTTGTGTTTTATTGGGAGTTAGTGAGGAGTCCAAGGGATATAGATTGTTTGATCCTATAGCCAAGAAAATTGTTGTGAGCAGGGATGTTATTTTTGAGGAAGAAAAACAATGGGATTGGGATGTGAGTTATGAGGGACAGATCATGTTAGATTTAGAATGGGGAGAAAATAATGAAAATAGTGAGGGAAAAGAAAGGGTGAGTGAAAATGAAGATGAAAATGGCAGTGGGGTTAGAGAAGAAAGAAATGTGGATGAAAATGGCAGTGGGGTTAGAGAAGAAAGAAATGTGGGTGAGAGCAGTGAAGACACACAGGGTTATGAGGAGAGAAGTTTTAATGAACTCGGCGAGGATGAAGGGAGGGTTTATGAAGGAAGAGTCAGACGCCCTCCTTCTTACTTAAGTGATTATGTCATTGGAGAAGGGCTAAGTGACGACAAGGTACACATGGTTCAAATCGTGCCAACCGAAGATCCTCTTTATTTTGAAGAAGCGGTGAAAGAAGAGAAATGGAAGCAAGCTATGGACAGTGAGATCAGCTCCATAGAGAAGAATAGAACATAGTCTTTAAGCGAGTTGCCGACTAGAGCAAAAAAGATTGGCGTCAAATGGGCCTACAAGACCAAGTACAACGAACATGGGAAAATTGACAAGCACAAAACACGTCTAGTAGCCAAAGGCTACTCACATAAGCATGGCATAGACTACACAAAGGTCTTCGCACCAGTGGCAAGAATGGACATGGTGAGGATGATTATCGCCTTGGCAGCACAAAAGGGTTGGAGGATTTTCCAATTAGATGTCAAGTCAGCATTCCTTCATGGAGAACTGAGTGAAGATGTCTATATTGAGCAACCAAGGGGTTACGAGAAGGAAGGAAGGGAGCACTTGGTCTACAAGCTACACAAAGCATTGTATGGATTAAAACAAGCTCCACGAGCTTGGTTTAGTCGGATCGAGGCTCATTTTATCAAGGAAGGTTTTCAGAAGTGTGACAGTGAGCAAACGTTGTTCACAAAGAAGAATGAAGCAGGAAAGATCATCATTGTAAGTATTTACGTTGATGATTTAATTTTTTCTGGTAATGACAAAGACATGATGTGTGAATTCAAAAGGTCCATGTCGAGAGAATTTGATATGACTGATTTGGGAAGCATGAGATTTTTTCTTGGCATCGAAGTACTTCAAAGAACAGATGGTATTTTCATATATCAAAAAAAATATGCCCTGGAGGTTCTAAAGAGATTTGGAATGTTGGAAAGTAATGAAGTAAGCAGCCCGATTGTCCCAGGTTTTAAGATCAGTAAGGATGAGAATGGAATTACTGTGGATGAGACATACTTTAAGCAATTGGTGGGAAGCTTAATGTATCTCACTGCCACAAGACCAGACATGATGTATGTCACCAGTCCCTTGAGTAGATTTATGGCAAGACCAACTGAGCTTCATCTACAGGCTGCAAAGAGAGCTCTTCGATATTTAAAGGGGACGGTGAATTATGGTATTCAGTACAAGAAAGGTAGAGATGATAGACTGTTTGCTTTCACAGACAGTGATTATGCAGGAGATGTGGAGGATAGGAAGAGCACCAGTGGTTATGTGTTCTTGCTAAGTTCGGGTGTTGTGACATGGAGTTCAAAGAAGCAGCCTATTGTTACACTGTTTACTACAGAAGCAGAATTTGTAGCAGCTGCAGTGTGTGCATGTCAAGCAATATGGATGAAGAAGGTGCTGAAGGAGCTTGAGTACAACAATGAGGCGTGTACTCTAATTAGATGTGATAACAGTTCAACCATTAAGCTGTCAAAGAATCCAGTGATGCATGGTCGCAGTAAACATATTGACGTGAGATATCATTTTTTGAGGAATCTCACGAATGAGGGTTCGATTGCTTTGATTCACTGTGGGAGCGAGGATCAGGTGGCAGACATAATGACCAGGCCGTTAAAGGTTGATGCTTTCCAGAAACTTCGAAATATGCTAGGGGTTTGCGAGATTGCTAGTATAAACTAACTGTTTGATGACAGTAAGTTTAAGGGAGGGATTGATAAGTTTGATTGTCCTTTTCATTGTAGG